TCAATGTTGTACATGCACAGTATTTTTTCCAAATTATTTTGTTTAAAAATTCAGGCAAAAACAATCACATATTTATAGAATTTCTGGTGGGGAATCAAATCAACAACATTAGAACTGTTCTTCACGAAAAGGCAGGGACGGGTGTAGGGAATGTTACTTGATTACAAAACAAGTTGCTTTTTTTAAAGCCAAGACTTGAGTATTCTTATATGACAACTATATCCGTACCTTCTTAGATTAAGTCTATTGTGTTTAACATGACTTACATATGCATGAGTGCCTAAAGGAAGAATCTAACTAATCTTTGGCTGATCCTGAAAAGCTGATCAGGGCTAGACCTGTTGGTAACTAAGGTGAGATACCATAAAGAAAACTAGGGCTGTAGGTTTGAACGGAGTGACTGAAGGAATATTTTCAAGGAAGGTCCTGGCAAACTACTTCCAAAATGTTGCCAAGAAAATGCTACCAACTTTTTGCTCAAGACTAGAAAAATGAAGAAACACTGTTGGACAAAGAGATAATCAAGAAAGTACTGGACTGTGCTGAAATGGATAAACTTACATTGAGGATTAAAGAAAAAGAAGATACAGAATATTTTCAAACATGGAACTTATTTTATCAATGGCTGGAAAAACGGGGTAGAGAATAAGAATTTAACTTGTATTACTAAGCAAAACAAATCAACCCAGACAACATGTTGTTTATTAAGCACTAATAGAAAATTAATAAAATAATAAAAAGAGAAAATGCTACAAACTTTTTATGAAGTCATCAGGAGTGAGGTCAAGAGACAATATATATTGTGAAGGACTTTAGGATGGCTTATAGCAGGTAAAGCAGATATTAAATTGCTGTAAAAGTAGTTTTTTTTTTAAAAAAAATCATATTTAGTCATAAAGAATGAATTATGAAATGATTTAATTCAACAGAACAGAGACACTTTTACTTTAAGTATTGTTAAAAAAACCCCAAATACTTAAATTTGCTATTTGTTTTGAGAAGCAAATGCCAATCGATGTATAAGCTTTAAGCAAAAGTTTCTAGGCTATTTTTTTTTTTAAGTTTGGCCATCCTGGGGCAAATGAACCAAATCATACTGTGTGGAGAAAGGGGAGGAAACACTGAGCAAAGAATTGCCTATCAGCCTCTCTGAAAACAATTTAAATCAAACATTTGCCTAATTTCTATTTGTCAAAACCCATTGTCAGAAACAGACCAGAGGAAAAAGATAGTACAGATAGTCCTCGACTTAATGACCGCAACTGAACCCCAAATTTATGTTGCTAAGTGAGACACTTGTTAAGTGAATTTTGCCCCATTTTACGACTTTTCTTGCCACAGTGATTAAGTGAATCACTGCAGTTGTTTAGTTAGTAACGCAGTTGTTAAGTGAATCCAGCTTCCCCATTGACTTTGCTTACCAGAGGTACACAAAAGGTGATCACATGACTCTGGGACACTGCGACCATCATAAATGTGAGTCAGTTGCCAAGTGTCTGAATTTTGATCATATGACCCTAGGGATGCTACAATGGCTGTCAGTGTTGAAAAAGGGCCATAACTCACTTTTTTCAGTGCCTCTGTAACTTCGACACTAAATGAACTAAATGAACTCTTGTAACCTGAGGACTACCTGTACAGGTGTCTTCAACTTACAACCATTCATTTAGTGATTGTTTGAAGTTACAGCGGCACTAAAAGAAGTGATTTATCAACTGTTTTTCACACTTGCGACCGTTGCATCCTCCCCATGGTCACCTGATCAAAATTCGGATGCTTGGCAACTGACTCATATTTATGACGGTGGCAGTGTCCAGGGGTCATGTGATCACCTTTTGCGACTTTCTGACAAGCAAAGTCAATGGGGAAGCTAGATTCCCTTAAGTTAGTAACACTTAAGTTAGTGTTACTAACTTAACAACGGTAGTAATTCACGTAACAACAGCGGAAAGAAAGGACATAAAATGGGGCAAAACTTGCTTAACAACTGTCTTGTTTAGCAACAGAAATTTTGGGCTCCATTGTGATCGTAAGTCGAGGACTACCTATAAAATGGGAGTAGTGGAACCTGAACTATAAAATGTTTCCACTTTGTAAGAAATAAGCATCTTACATTCCCAATCCTAAGCACTCTCACTCTCCCATTCTGATATTGTTCGTGTTATACCAGCAGCTATCTTGCTTCCTTAGAAGATTGGTGGACTTCTTTTATGATGGAAAGAATATTTAATTCCATATCTATTCATTTCAGAACAGATACATCAAAAATTCTAACACACCTGTCAGTTTTAAGTCTAAAACCCTGAATTCTTGGTGGGAGTAGTTATTACAACAACATTCTTGTAGGTTTTCTTAAACAAAAGGAATGGGTACTAAAAATGTTTTAAGATAATCACCGGGAAACTGCTCTAAGTCTTAATGCCTAGTGCAGAACATTGCTGTCTCTCAACGCCAAAGGATTTTCGAATTGCACTGCTAGTACAAGCCTCCCCAGAGCTTAATTTTACTTAAGAAGACAATACCAAATATGTTCTCGATCAAAAAACAAAACAAAAACCACACACCAAAAAACCAAATACGCTTTAGGGAAAGAGAAATAAAGACTTGAAACATTGCTATTTCTTCTTTATAAATCAGATTTACAATATATAGCACTTTTTAAGCATTTCACGAGAAAGGGCTTCTTATCTTGAGCAACAAAGAGATTGGAAAGCCAGACTTCTACTCCTCATTTTGTTTCAGAATAAGGATTTCGGATCAGTAACCCAGATGTCTTACTTACTTACTTACTTATTTATTTATTTATGAGACTTATATACTGCTTTAAGTGCAAGCACTCTCTAAGCGGTGTACACCAGTAAGCAATGTATATATATATATATATATTTACATTGCCCCTAACAATCTGGGTCCTCATTTTACCATTGTCTTGGTAAAAGAAGTAATTGGGAATTGGGAATTCTGGGAATGTTAGTTTAGTACACCTAGGTCCATAAGATTGGAGAAGGCTAATTTAGGAGTTTGATATATGCAAGGATGTTGTGAAACTACCCATGAGTTAGACTTATGAACAACTTTTAACATATGTCTTCTGAAATTGAAAAAAGAAATTGGAGAATTTCTGCAGACTATTTTGTAGTTGGTAAGTTATGGAGCAGTGCTTTCACGCAAAAGCTTAGTCTTATTTCTATTGGAAGGATATTCACATTTCCACAAAAACAGTCTGCTAAAAGGCCTTCCTACACAGATTCAAGCACATTACAATACTGCAGGACTCATTCTCCAACCTATAAAGGAATAAAAGTGAAATCTCCTTCAAAAGCGTGGTAATTTCATGGACATACTCATAACATTTTCTTCTACTGCTTTTTTCCTGCACTCCACAGGATATGGTTTGGGATATTAAGTGTGGGATAACACAGTTTGCCTTCCAACCCCCTCTGGTCCCAAAAGCACATTTTCCTTCTAAAACAACAAATCCTTGCAAATTCCAATTCCACTGGTCTGAAAGAAACGTTTGCAAAAGGACGGGAGGTTTTGGGGGAGCGATCTCATGCTGTTTCAGGCCTTCTGTCCCTTTGCAAAAGCTTTTGGTGTGGAGAAAGCCTGAAGGAGCACGAGACCACACCCCAAAGGCTTCTCTTCTCCACACCAAAAGCTTTTGCAAAGAACAGAAAGCCCGAAGCAGTGTGAGATTGCTCAACGTGAAGCCTTCCGTCCCTTTGCAAAAGCTTTTGGCGCGGAGAAGAGAAGCCTTTGGGGTGCGGTCTCGTGCTCCTTCAGACTCACCAAAACTGCCCGGTGTTCCAAAAGCGGATTGGGTGTCCTGCATAGGCAGCCTCGGTGAGTCAGTGAAGCTGAGTAGGACACGAACATCCCACTCTGCCTCTGCTCTCGCCACTCTGCCTATGGAACGGCAGGAGCAGGCAAAGAAACTGCACTGCCCCGGCAGAGAGGCTGGAAAGAAGATAGCTCTCTTGAGGAGAGAGAAGGAGTGGTCAGCCTGTTCTGGAACTCTGGATCTCTGAAAGGTAAGTGACCCTTTGGGATGGGAAGGAGCTGGTGGGCTATCATAGCATGGTTAGTGCCTGTTAGGTCCTAGTGGGGTGTGGGAATAGGCAGGTGGAATGTTGCAACACTGCGACTGCTGTGTTGCTGCAACATTTGTAACTTCAGGACTGTGTTGTAAGTACTTTTTTGTCGTAACTTTGAACTGTCACTAAGTGAACTGTCATAATTTAAGGGCTACTTGTATTGACTGCAGAAACAGATATCTATATCTATGTTTATATCTATGTATATGTATTTAAAAATCTGATCTTTTGCATGTATATTTGGAAAGAAAATGCTATTCAATTTAATAGGATTTAATCTCAGGTAAATATATGTATGATTGCAGTCTAAAAATTTTAGTACAGGTTTTAAAATTATTATACATTTTTTCCTTATTCTTTTTAATATAAATCAATGATATCTCCCTAAGCCTAAAACTTTTTCTATTCCATTCCAATTTTCACTGCTTGTTTTACTTGGAGAAATTTTACATGGCAGTTTACCAGTCAATAAAACTAATCTTTTCATTCATTGTATTCTGTACAGTGCAAACTTTTTGTATTTTATGGGTATAAGTTATTTGTCAAAGCAGGGAAAGAGGAGAAAAAAACAAACAAAACAATTGGTTTATTAAATGTTGAAAAAAATTAAGCAGAATGTAGCGGAAACATTTTAATCAGCAGCAAGAAGAGATTAAAAAAAACTAAAATACTAAAAACTAAAAACAAAACAAATATAAACAAAACCCCCATGCTTGTCCTTGGAGCGTTTACAACCAAACCTCAGAAGTGTCACTCAAAGCAATCCAGTCTGACATCTGGAATTCTAAAATTCCTATGGGGCTTGAGCAAAAGCCTTTTTAGTAGAAGAAATGTGTGTGGTAGCTGCTACTGCACCCTACAAATCTGCTTAACACTGTGCCTATAATTTGTTTAAAAGATACTTACTTTAAAGAAAGTGAATAGTCATGCTTGCTTGTTTGACTGTTCCTCACTAGATAGCTACATTCTTTACACAAGCGCAAGAGGTTTTCTGCATCTGTCCGACTGATTGCTCCATGATACCATCTGTAAAAAAAATACAAGCATTTGACACTTAGAATAAATTCATTTTGAAGTTTTACAGTTTTTTAAAGGCATTCTAATGTACTACACGATATGCAAGACCAAGCAAAGCAACTTTGAGAGATGTGTACTGGATGCAGCCCTACAAACTCCCAACAACTGCAAAATACTACTTTCATGTCAGTTTCTGCTGTCCTATGTTTCCCTGCACCAAGTATCGGCAACTTACATCTGTTTTTCTAGCGGAATAGTTGGATCCACTCTCTCTCCCAAGATTCCACAGAATTCTGGGCTACCATGTTTGATGGGTTTGAAGCCTCCCCCAGGTGCACGAAGCTGTCGGCGCCGATCACTTGAAGACGGAGAAGGTGAAGATTGCCTTATCTCTCCCCCATTGAACTGGGCTGTAAGACATATTCAAGTAAACTATTACCTCCAAATTAGCAAATACCCAAAGAATTTTAAATATTGAACAGAAATAATGGATTTTAAAACAAATAAAAGTACTCTGTACACTATACTAAATACTATGATATGCTATGCCAATATGGTCGTCCCTCTTGCTGCAGTGGTTCTGAACAAAGTTTAAATAGAAGCCATAATGTGAAACCATTAAAACATGAAATTCAAAACATATAACTCAAAAAGGAATTTCAAAAAGATGAGAGTCAAAGCAGTGATAACATAACACAACATACTATATAACGCAATGTAAGAGCAATCCACCCAGGCTTCACTAACTTCATGAAGTCCATGCCTGGAGAAACAACCAAGTTTTCAATGTTTTCTGGAAGGTCAATCGGGATTGGGCTCAATCTGATCTCAGATGGTAAAGTGTTATCAATCTGAACTCCTTGGCTGATAGTTCTTCAGTCCATCAAGTGAAACAAAGCAACATTTAAAAAGTATGGTTTTATTTTATTCATTTCAGAATAGCAGCAGACTGGCTTGGAATTTTAGGAGATGTATTCCCAAAACATCAAGGTCATGTCAGGTTTCAGAAGACTGATTAGCTGGCAGAAAACCAGCCCTCCAACTGCTCTTCCTGAGTCTCTATTTCCTGACTGTACATACTTATTCCCCAAGCCACTTATAAAAATACTTGCTTGTTTTTGTTCTCCGCTGCCTCATCTAGTTGCCTTATTCTGTTATATGCTGGCAGAACAATGCTGGCAGAACAGGCTCAAATAAATAACTAGGAACAGGAGCAATCAGTCTTTTCCAATACGACATTGAAAGTGACCATGCCTTGTTCTGTTTATGTTTTATGTGCTGGTCTTCTATCTCATCCACCCTTATAAGGTCTGATTTGAACACACAATACCAGGACTACAATAGGACTCAGATTAATGAGCCTTCTCCAACTGCCTATCTTTTATATACGAAAGAACTACAATTCCTAGCATTATTTATTCAACTCATTGGGAATTCTGATCACTGTAGTCCAACTCCTCTGGAAGGCATCACTTGAATCCAACAGCAAAAATATCACTTTTTATCTCAGAAAAGAGAGACACAAAACTCCAAGGATTAATTTTGGAAGAAGATACAAAAAGATAATTAATAAATAAATTAAATGTGAGGGAAGTGAGCTCGTAAGTCTATTGCAGTCACATGAAATCTCACTTAACAACCTCATGGCTTAGCAATGGAATTTCCAGTCCCAACTGAAGATTAAAGGGATAAATTCTCATTCAACTTCACATATTTTTTTATAAAGTCTTCTATTATCAAAGCAAAGCTTGCCATTTACAAAATACCAAGTACAAAGCAAAGATATACAAACAAAGTTAGCCTGGTATATTATTGTTTCAGGGAGTTTAATGGAATATTTATCCTCAACCACCTTCCCATTGAAAATCCAATACAAAATACATGTGACAAGGGATTACATGGTAGATCTCCTACCATCTAAAAGTGGCATTTCATGGTTCATTACCAAACAAAACACCCAACAAACCCAGGACCAAGAAGTGTGACCTCCATAGCAAATGTCCTTAAGCAAAACAGAATAACAGAGTTGGAAGGGACCTTGGAGGACTTCTAGTCCATCCCCCTGCTCAAACAGGAGACCTACACTATTTCAGACAAGTTGCGGTCCAGTCTCTTCTTAAAAGCCTCCAGAGATGGAGCACCCACAACTTTTGTTCCACTGGTTAACTGTTCTAACTGTCAGGAAATTTCTCCTTAATTCTGGGTTGCTTCTCTCCTTGATTGGTTTCCATCCATTGTTTCATATCTTACCTTCTGGTGCTTTGAAAAATAGGTTGACCCCCCCCTTCTTTGCCCTTCAAATATTGGAACACTGCTATAATGTCACCCCTAGTCCTTGTTTTCACTAGACTAGCCATATCCAATTTCTGCAACCGTTCTTCATGTTTTAGCCTCAGCTCCCTAATCATCTTTGTTGCTCTTTTCTGCACTCTTTCCAAAGTCATGGTGCAACATGCAAATGAGAAAAAAGTGATAAAGATAGTAGTCACTAGGCAAGGCTATAGGATTCTGTGTGACTTTTATTATCTTTGTATTATTGTAATACTATAAAGGCCACAAAAGCAGTAATCTTATTAAGCCTACAATTAACCAGGTGAAGACAATCCTATAGATGATAAAATATTCTCATCCTTTAACTCAGGTTAGAGTTGTTGTTCTGTCTACCTTCTCTCTACTCCTTCTGTGGATTCCAGTGAACAGCTGTTTAAACATTTGAAAATGAAGGTAATTCACTTACAAAGTTTTAGAAGGCTATAAAATCTCTAAATGCTTCCAGCTGGCAATTTCTAACTACCGGTACAAGGAATATTTTTTAAAAATGAAAGTTACTAAAGAATTGTGGGAATCATATGAAGATCTCAAAGATCAGGAAATATCTCTGCTAGAATGGTCTTATTTGTAAAACAAACCTAGAGATCACTCCAAATAATCTGCTGAAAAGTTAGCTGACAATGGAATAATTGTCCACATTGCACTGTTGCTTATATAAGAATGGCTCAGTTTGGGACAGTTTGTCAATTCTCTAATCTCATGACAAAATACATTGTCTAAAGTATGTAAAAGGAAACCCTGGTAGACTTGAAGTGTTTTGGAACAAAATGCTTTGGAATGATGAAACAAAAATTGAGCTATTCAGTTGCAACAACACAAAAAATGTTGGGAGCGAAAAGGGCAAAACATTTCAGGAAAAGCATACTTTGCCAGCCATAAAATATAGAAATTACTCTATTATCCCTTGGCAGCCAGAAGCGTAAGAAATATTGTGGGCATAGAAGAATGATTCAGCTAAACACCAGCATATTCTTTGCATCTAATATCTCCCAGTCAAGGAAGAAATTGAGATTGAAAAAAGTTCGATATTTCAGCAAGACAACAACCTGAAACATACTTCCAAATAAACCATAGTAGTACTTATAGCAGTGTTTCTCAACCTTGACAATTTTAAGGCATGTGGACTTCAACTCCCAGAATTCTACAGCCAGCAATGCTGGCTGTGGAATTCTGGGAGTTGAAGTCTACATGCCTTAAAATTGTCAAGGTTGAGAAACACTGACTTATAGGAAAAGAAATACAAAGGTACTATAAGGGTCTTCTCAGTCCTAAGGTTTGAATATTATTTAGAATTTGTGAGGAGATTTCAAGCATACCGTGTGTGTAAGATATTCTAAGAATATTTCTGAGTCCTGACAGTTGTGCAAGGGAGAGTGGGAAAAGATACAAAGAGCAAGAGTAGGAAGACTCTTAGTTGACTACTTGAAATCTTTGAAATCTGTTATTTCTGCCCAAGGAGCTATTGCAAAACATTGGGTGAAATATTATGCTTTTTAATTTTAACCCAACACTCATTTATTATGATTGTAATAATCATTTAATTGAGCAAAAAGATTAGGGTGCCACATATAGCATTTTTATTTGACTCTCTAAACCAGTGGTTCTCAACCTGCGGGTCGGGACCCCATTTGGGGTCGAACGACCATTTCACGGGGTCGCCAAACAACGCAGTCCGCCATTTTTTCCCCCTTTTCCTTAGCTGTGCTACTCCCTTTTATTCTATTGGTTTTTGAAAGCCAATAGAATAGCCTCTCTTGAATTGAGTCTAATTCTATTGGCTTTCAAAAGCCAATAGGAATTGTCCAGGCTGTCTCTGCCCTGCTGAGCCCACCAAAAGTCCCATTCGGCAAATGGTGCTGCACCAATTGAATAGTCCTCGACTTACGACCGGTTGAGTAGTCCTCAACTTACGACCGGTTGGGGGTCGCGGCATTAAAAAGATTGAGAACCACTGCTCTAAACTAATGAATATAGATAGTAGCTATACATTAGGATTTGAAGAATTTAACGTTGTACCATATGGAGGTTGTGTCAGTTTCTGTTCACCCAAGAATATAAACATATAATCTGAGCAGGGTGCCTACACTTTTGCATGTTCAAGACTACTCTGTCTCATGATCATACAAAAATAGACATGTTTTAGTCATTAACATGGATGTAATATCCACATAGGAAGTCTCATCTAAGGTGAGGTGGCCCTGGTGACATGAAATTATGAAAAATACTTCATACAAACTATTCTAAAGCACACAGAATAATAACCAAGAAGCAAATAGGCCCAAATGGTTCACAAAATGGAATTAAACTAAACATTTATTATGCAAAACAGAATATTCTGTAATGTTGAGAGGTATATGCATAATTCCTTAAAAATATTGCTATAATAATTAAGCTAACTACACTGCTAGCAGACAATAATCCATTTACAATAATCCATACATAATTAAACGCTGCAAGCAATCATTTAATTGGAGAAGTCAGACAAGAAACTCTTGTCAGCTCTGTGTGAAGGTGATATGGAAGTCACAATTTAAAAAAACATAATTGCGTTTAAAATTTCCTATGGTTACTATGATGGTAATTTTACTGCAGAACTCTATCCATTAAATGTGGCAGGATTCCAGAGCACCTCCAGATTTTTTTATTGCTAAGGAACAATTTCCTGAATTAAAACTGAAAGGATGTTCTACTTTTACAATATAAATGGCACAAGAGTGCACAGAAATACAGCTTCCTGTGTTTCAACATGTTATTGTTCATTGTACATCACCTGTCTAGAAGACAGCAAGCTTAAAGCATTGACTCATGCAAAGATGAATTAGGAAGCATAGTTTTTATAACTGACGGTAATGTGTCTGCATCAGAAGAGAATGAATATTCCTATCCATAGCCATCTGCAGTGGAGGATAAGGGAGAGCAAATGATGAAATTTGTGTGACATTGTGCAAATGTTGTAACTTTCACATTGTGTCAGATGCTAGGAAATAATATGTAATTGTGACAGCTATATAATGATATAATGAGTGCATGTATTATTGTTTTGGTGTCGCTGCAGTTTGCTGAGGACACCACTGATTAT